CAACACGCATGTCATCCACACACACCTCTGAGTTGGACGACATGGGACTGCAGCTCTACTGAGGTCAAGAATGAGAGGGCAGAAAACTTTGAGATGAATCCCAGAGCTTGATCAGAGCTGCAGTATAATCTGCAGAGAGAAGATAAGGAGCTTCACGTGATGCTGGCAGCTCTGGTTCCCTGGTGACCTTGCTTGGGTTCTCAGAAATCGAATCCCAATTTCAAATTCCCGGGGAAAGAAACCCAGTTGGGCAAGTCAGGTTGAATATCCACCTTGGTCCAAACAACTGTGACTAGGAGGGCAGAGCCCTATAGCACAAAGAAGAAGTGGGGGTCTGAGGTGGTAGAGATGCCCCCCAAGAGGACCTGTATTTCTCACCATCCTGCTTACATTTGAAAGCTTGTTGGTGGAAATCTGGCCACAGATCCAGTCTCAAGAGGGACCTCCCTCATCCCATCAACCAGTCTGAACATAGGACACAATTGCACATATTATTCCAGACATGATCTGAGGATGAAAATCTGGATAGTCTCGAGAGTTTTCTTGGAACCTTGTGCCAACCTGCTCAGTCCTGGCGGTATCCATGTGGAAGGAGAGCCCTGCTGCCACCTGGGACCCTTTGGGCATGTTCATGGTGCTGAGGCCACAGGGGCTGGGAGCACTGGAAGGGGCCAAGAGGACTAACTTGTGAACTCTCAGGCTGGGCAGCAAAAGACCTGTTGCAAATATTTTCTGAACTCCATGCCAAGGATAAAGACAAAGATGGACATAAGCCCTGCCTCTAGAAGCTGACAGTCTGCACGGAGAGGAAAGACGGATGAGATAACATGGGAAATAGCTCTCAATGGCCAAGTGACCTGGTCATTGCATACTTGAGGAGTTGTGTAGAAGCAGAGGGCAGTCCAGGAGGGATGATGAGGTCCTCAGGACAAGAGACGTGAGAGAGGATGAGGTGAGCAAAGGCACAGGTGTGGTGAGGTGCACCCAGGGTATAGGTTTACAAATAGGATGTTAGTTGTTGTTGCTGTCCAGTCGGCTCTAACTCTTGGTGACCCCACATACAACAGAATGAAACATTGTCCAGTCCTGTGCCATCATCACAATCAGTGGTATGCTTGAGTCCATTGTTGTGGCCACTGTGTATTGTGAGTGTTTTCCAACCTAGGGGGCCTATCTTCCAGCACTATATCAGACAAAATTCTGTTGTGATCCATAGGGTTTTCGTTGGCTGATTTTTGGAAGTAGATTACCAGGCCTTTCTTCCTAGTCTGTTTTAGTCTGTAAGCGCCACTTAAACCTGTCCACCATGGGTTACCCTGTTGGTATTTGAAATACCAGTGGCATCGCTTCTAGCATCAAACTACACAGGACAACAAACTGACAGATGGGTGGTGGATGGATAGGAGTAGAAGGAAATAAAGTCAGAAATGTGAGTTAAGATCAGAAATGAGATCTTGATGGCAGTTTAAGGTGTTTGGATATGATGCCATAAGTAATGGGGTGTTGAAGAAGAGTTTTGAGCAAAGTGGATAGCAGAATTTTTAGAGTTGGAGAGAATGCAGTAGTTAGAGACAATGTATCTGGAGGGGGTGTGCAGAATGGATTCCAGACTGTGAAAAGAAACTGTTAGAGCAGGGGGATGGGTTAGGAAGCTATCGCATGTGACTGGATCAGAGTGTGTGGGGATTCAGGAATAGACATTTGAAATATTATAAAGACTCCATAGGACTTGGTGGCTGAATCTCTATGGGAGGGAAAGGGACAAAGTCAAGCTTGAATGTCAGAAATAGGAAATGGCAGCCACACATCCACACATCCATCAAGTGGCTGGGGTCAGGGTAATAATAGGAAACTCCACATGGTGTCTGCCCTTAAGGAACTCACATCCTCTTCTCTCATCCTCAGCTCTTCCAGAAAAGGCCCTGAGAGCCATCGAAGATAAGTCATGGAGGAAGTGACAGAGAGAAGGGGAAAGGGGAAAGGGGAAAGAAAATTCCACTTGCTCAGCCCCGTGACAGGTACTTAACTGATATTCTTTCAGAAATTCTCAAAATAATCAGGAAGGACCTTGGGAGAGGAAGGTGGAGGCCTGGCGACTCACAGCAGGGGCCCTACAGCCTTCAGGTTTCCTGCTGGGATGGCTGGTTCAGGGCATTAGGCTGGATAGGCAGACAGATGGGTGAAGGAAGCCCATGTCTTGTCTAGGGATGCACCTGTGCTCTGGCTGTCAGGAAACTGAGCAAGGGCAAGTTCTCCCATCAGGAAATCAGGCAGAGAAGAGGCTTGAGGGCAGAGGTGGGAGTTTGTTTTGGGCTGTGTTGAGTTTGACAGATGGCCAGGTCCCAGAGACTTGTAGATCTGCACTTGAGTGCAAGATCAGGGCTTGAGTTGAGGTGTGGCAGCCACTCGCCAGAAACCTTGACCTGAGACCACTGTTGAAGTTCATTCTTCTGCAGAGCTGAGTTGACATTGGCTCTTCTCAAATAAATTAACAGGGCTGTCAGGGCTAACAAGCTGGAGTGTGAATGCTGACGGAGAAAAGGGATAGTAGAGGCATTTTACAATTAACCAAGATAGGATTATGGACACCCATTTTAAAAAATAAATAAAATTATCATCCCTGAACACGAGAAACAGAACCAGCGTTGGGTTTTAGAGTCACATGTACTTTCCCTTTTCTTCCAGGCCGTTAATTAATCAATCTAGATTCTAGATTCCAGAGCCAGTTGGACTCTTCCAGAAGGGCCTGCATTCATTTGGATTTAACCTTCTGATCATCTAGGCTTGACACTGATCAAACGCACTAAGTGCTGAAAAAGAAAAAGAAAAAACACCCAGTTGCTGTCAAGTTGATTCCAACTCATAGTGACCCCATGTGTGCCAGAGTAGAACTGTGCTCCAGAGTGTTCAATGGCTGATCTTTCAGAAGTAGATTGCCAGGCCTTTCTTCTCAGATGCCTCTAGGTGGGCTCCAACCTCTAACCTTTTGGTTAGTAGCCAAATGCATTAACTGTTTGCACCACCCAGACACTCCTCACTGAACAGTGTGTTAATTCTAGGAATGCTGTGTTGAGCAAGACAGACTTGATTTCTGCCCTCAGTCTTCAAGAAGGAAGTGAAGTAGGTCCCTAGAAAACAGTAAACAGATGACAGGAAAAGCCTAGAGTTTGCCCATATTTAGGATGTAGGCAGAGGAGTAGCAATCAAGAGAGAGACCAAAGGAGAAGCTGGAGTAAGAAAAACAGTAGGGTCAAGAAAGCCAGAGAATCCAAGGAGGAGTCCTCCTCAGGGTCAGAAGCAGGATTTAAATGTGGAAGAATGAGGACTGTGGAAAGGTCATTGGAATTGGCCATTAGGAGGGGAATAGTTTCCTTCAAAGGAGGAGGTTCATGAGAAAAGTGGGGCCGAGGCCGGGTGTGCAGGGCGAAGCAGAGTGACAGTGGTGAGACCGAGGGGCCCTTTCATACATTCATGAGTGAAGGGGAAGCAGAATAACCTGCAGGGCACTGTGGGCCAGAAAAGGTGTTTAAAGGCAGGACAAAATGGACAGAAGGCAACTGGGAGAATGGCTTTGTATTTAGATTATTTTTAAAAATATAATGTGCATCACCAAGAGGAGAATGGAGAAATTAATTATGTTATATCCATAAAATGTAAACTGCATAGCAATTAAAAAATGAATTATTGCTATACACAACAGTATGCATGATTTGCACTGATATAATTTTGAGCAAAAGAAATGAAACACAAAAAAATGCATAATGTATGATTCCATTTACATCAAGTTCAGGAACAGATAAAATAATACACAGTGATAAGGATTAGGGTAGTGGTAACTTAGTGGGCAGGGGGCAGGTATGGATTGGGAGGAGGTTCTGGAAATGTCCTGTAATAATCTTGGTGATTTATATGTATATAAAAATTCATTAAGCTGTACATTTAGTATTTGTACACATAACAATATATTTTATACCTTGATTAAAATAAGTCTTTAAGAAAACCAACAAAAAAGGATAAACAGGATATATGCATGTGCAGTATCTATTGCTGTGTAAAAACATTACCCCAAAACTTGGTAACTTAAAACAACAAGCATTTCACAGTTCGGCAGGCCAGGAATTAGGGAATAGTGTAGCTGGGTGGTTCTGGCGGAGGGTCTCTCATGTGGCTGCACTCAAGATGCTGGCTAGAGCTGCAGTCATTTTGAGTCTTAACTGGGGCTGGAATATGGCTCACTCACATCGCTGTTGGCAGGAGGCCTCAGTTCTTTGCCACATGGCCCACTCCATGAGACTGCTTGGGTGTCCTCACAACATGGCAGCTGGCTTCACTCAGAGTGAGTGATCCAAGAGAGAGCAAGATGTAACCCACCATGTCTTTTATGACCTAGTCTCGGAAGTAACACATCATCACTTCTGCAATATTCTATTCATTAGCAGTGAGTCACTATGTCCAGCCCACACTCAAGGGAAGAGGAATTAGGCTCCACTTCTTAAAGGAAGAAGCATCAAAGAATTTATGGACCTGTTTTACAACTACCACAGCACAGAACTGAATAATGTAGTGTCCCTAACTGTTTGGAGGTTTGGCGGTCAAGGATCAGGGTCTGGGAAATGTCCTGTGGTAGGCAGAATGGCCCTCAAAGATGGTTACTCTCTAATCCTCAGAAGCTGTGAATATGTTATGTTACACAGCAAAGGGAACTGGAATCAGCAAACTTAGAAAAGGATAAAACAAGAAACAGCTGGTGTGAAATAAAATATGGAATCTCATTAACCGTACGTATTTTTACGCAAATAACACACTCTTTCTCCATTTGTTTGCCAACCGCACCCTCTGCCCCCAAGGTATTTTCATAAGTACTACTATATCAACTTTTTTTACAAGTTTCTGTAAAAAAAAAAAAAAAAAAAAAGCATATCCAAAGAATCGCACTCATGGCAGGATAATTTATTAAAATACTGTTATCTGTGCCTTTGCTCTTATTTCAAGCTAGCAGACAAGCTTCATCTTCCCTCAGTTAGGGGATTTGGGGCAGGGCAGAGAGTACAGTAGTCAGAAGGTCCGTGCTCATCCCCCCATATGTAAAGGCCTAAGACCTCTGGAGGGACATGCCTCCTTCAGGGGAGGGGAGAGGAAGCCGTGGAGGCTGCCAGAAGGTGGCTCCTCAGAGCCCAGAAAGGGGACCAAGTTCCATGAACAGTGGGAAGCTCCTCCCATCCCAGCCCCCTGCTAGGTGGCAATACCTCAGAGGGAACAGCGCAGGCAAGACCCTGGGCCTGGGGGTTCCCTGCACTCCCCAAGATGTCAGGCCCCATGCACACAGTACAGGAGCAGGAAGTCAAGGACAGGAAGGGACCAGGTGAATAAGACAGCAGGGTCTCTGCTGAGACCAGCACAGACTGACGTGGCCTCTGGTGTTTTGACCTATTAATGTAAGACCTGGGACCTTTGAGAACCAGGTGGAGTGGAGGGATGAGGTAGCTGTACGGGAGATCTTGAGGATGACTAAGGTGGATTTTCTCACTAATCCATCAGGAAGCAGGAAGAGGTGTTGGAGTCTGAAATATGCGATTTAGAACGAGAAAAAGTGACACTCTTTGCACACTTAAGTTTTGGACTGATATTCAAAACAGTGACCCCCTTTTGGCTTTAAATGAAGATTTTAATCTCCCGGTGGAGGCCTGAGGCAGGGTGGTATTTGGGAGGGCAACAAGACCTTACTGTGCAGCTTGAGGTGTGGGGAGGAGCTGCTGTTAGGTTTTATGACTGTACAAGGTTGGGAGGATGTCGCTGGTTGCGCTGGGGTTGAAGTACAGCTGAATAAGAAGGCAGCTCCAGATATCAAGGGTGAGAAAGGTGCCCGGGCCTGGCATGGAAGTTTCCTGTGAGGTGGGAAGAAAGGCAGGAACCTGAGACAAGTTCAGGTCAGCAGCTGGGGGCTTACCCAGCTGAAAGGGCATCTGGGAGCAAGCCCCTCCCTCCTGAGACTGCAGCAGCCTCTGGACTTGGTTACCCAATCCCCCTTCCGGATGTCACTGATGCCTATTGGTATGCATGTCTTCTGTGTATCGGTGGTGGGCAGCAGTGTCTTCTAATAATCCTATCCCCTCCTCAAAACTACATAGTGGGGTTTGATGCAAACGCAGCCCTATCACACTCTCTTTGCAATTGATGAGGCACCCAGTTGAGAAAAGTCACCTACCTCTGACTTTGGTTTTTTGCGGGGCACACAACAAACCTTTCTCCCGCAGAGGACGGAAGTGGCACAAGAACAATCATTTCTCTCTGGCCCAGCATGGCCGGCCTGATGGGCCCCTAATCAGGCCTTGCTACAAGAGGACAGAATAACCCAGTGACACTTAGGGGCAGGCACATCCAAAGGCTGAATCGTACATTGTCATGGCTTAGGATTCTCCCCGGGTCTAGACTGCAAGAAAGTTAAGAGGGGGCTCCAGACTAGGGAAGCATCCAGGGGACATCAGAGGGATTGTACAAGTCCCTTTGCAAGCAAGAGGTGAGGGAGTGAGAAGGCTCAGAGAAAAATAGGGAGGAACAGGAGCCCAGGTGTCTAGTCCCAGTGCTAGGATGGGGCTTGGCTTCACTTACACAGGTCCTACAATGAATGGAATCTAGTGCATCCTGTTTTACTTTTTGTGGTGCCGTGATCTTCCTGAGATGAGCAGATTGTGCTCTGTCAACTCTGTCCATTCTATTGAGCCTGAATGGTGGGTCTGAGTCAGTCTTTTCCATCAGCCTGAGTTCCTGCTGCTCTTTTGGTCCTTTTCTAAGGGGTCTGGGAGTCAGGGAGGGGGCAGAGAGCTGTTGAGACCATTTCCAAGATGGGAAGGCAATAATCAGTAATAGTGGTAGCCATGGAAGGTGTTGACTTTAAGCCACTGGGGCAATAGAAGCCAAGACCACTCCCTGGAGAGTCAAATGCAATCTGGATCCTGAGGTCATTTACGAAGTCAAGGGGAACGCTTCAGGGATGAGGAGAGATGGGAGCAGGTTACACTTACAGCTTGTTGCTTTTCTGTATGTTTATTAAGACTTCCATCTTCTTATCCATATCCTTCTGCATGTCCTTTAAGAGAGAATTCAAAGCTAGAATCTATTTTAAAGGGCTTTTGAAATCTACTTCCCCAGCCTCTCTCTGCAAACCATTCAGAGACGATCTCATCAGCTTATTTCCTCAAGAATCCTCACCAGACTTAAGTGAGGTGGTTTTAGGGGAGGGAGGTGACAACATATACCACTTCTCCCTTCCCCCTTCCCATTCCATGATAGATTGAAGCACAGTCAGAGTCATTAGGGGACTTATCCAACGTCTCTCATTGAGTCACAGCCCAGGAACTCTTTTATCTGATCTCACGCTTTGGATGAAACCAGTATCTGTCTTGGTTTAATGCCTATGAAGTGATGGAACCAAGAAAACAAATCTTCTGACCCCAAAGGCATTTTGACTCCCATGTTTTGACCCCTGCCATGCACCCAGACCCTATGTATTGTAATTACGCCATCTTTTACTCAATTCCTGGCAGAAATGGTCAACACAAAATAAAACTGATGGTGCCTAAAGTGGCACATAACGTTCATTATTTACTAAGAACTGACAGAAGAATGAAATATTCTTGGCATCGTTTAGACCTATAAAATTTGACCAGGGAAAATTGGACTTGGTAGAAAGAGTGGCCACAAAAGACGTTCTAAGGTGGCAGAAGCTATACATGACAATATCTGTTATGGACAAAAACAGGTCTGGTCGATCATCATCATAAAATATAAGAGACAAATAATTTCCTCCAGCGAAAATAATCTGAATAAAAAAAGAAACATATGGAAGCAATTTATTTGATCTGCTGTGGAAAATTTATCAAGGAAATATGGTGTCTGGGTAGAGATAATTTCAGAAAGTATTTTACTCAAAAGCATTTTTAAATGTTAGCATAAATTTGGAATAAAATATCTGTATTTATAAACAGAGTAGAAATATCCTTGAAGACAAAATGCACCCTGGGTCAAAAAGTTGGAGTCAAAATGTCCTATAGTCTCACAAGTACTTCAAACTCTTCATGTCCCAAACGCATGTCATCATTTTCCTTTTTAAATTAGCTCTATTTCCCAACTCTCTTGTCATTGTCACACTTCCTACTAATCACCCAGATTAAAACTTTGGTGTCATCATGGGTGCTTACCTCTCCTTTGTTCTCTATATTGAATCCATCACCCAGAACTGTTCTTTTTCCTTGGATGCATCTTTCAGATTTATCATTTTCCTTCTATTCTAACACCTAGCCCTGCTTTCATCACCTTGAGCCAAGATGCAGCCTCCTGTCTGGTGTTCTTGCTCACAGACAGCCCCCACCTGCTCCCTGAACACCTCCCCGCTTCCCAGGCCACCTTGCAAACAGCTGCCGGCTAAGATTTCTGAAGTGCTGCTCCTAACATTTTCTTTGATTAAGAACCTCCAGAGGTCTCTTACTGCTTACAGATCAAGTCCCAGCTTGTCTGCCTGTCTTTCAAAGGCCTTCATTATCCACTGCCTTTGTGCCCATTCAATTCTATTGCTCACAATGTCCCCCAATGATCCACTTTTATGACTGATCTCCCCACTGCCTGGGATACACATTATGTTCATCCAGCTTCCCTGCTGTGGTCAAGCTATTCCTGTGCCAGAAACAGGCTCCTTGTGCCCTCCAGTACCCAGTCCTACCCACTAACAAAATAAAACCCTTATTGGGTTTGCTTTTAAATGTAAAAATAATACAGGTTCTTTGTAGAAAATTTGAAAAATTTAGAGGAATATAAAAGAAAAAATTCTCACCACCCAGAAATAACCACAATGAGTCATTTTGGTGTATTTCTTTTTGGTCTTTTTTCTGTATACGTATTTACCTATTTTTTCACCTAGTTGAAGTCAACCTGCATATATTACTATATCTTGCTTTTTCATTTTTCATTATGTATAAGCATTCCTTCTAAACATTGTTTTTGATAGTTCCTGATTGTCATTACATGGATATACCATCATTTATTTGGCTATTCCCCTACTGTTAAAAATTGTGGTTTGTTTCCAAAATTTTGCTATTGTAAATAATTCTGTGATGAATATCTTTTTATATGTAGCCATACTGATATTTCTGATTATTCTCGTAGGTTAGATTCTGAGAAGTGGAGTTGATAAGTCAAGGGTTTTGATATTTTTGGATAGTTATTGTCTAGTGCACTGCAGGCATTGGCAAAAAACAAGGCTCCAGGAATGGACGGAATACCAATTGAGATATTTCAACAAATGGATGCAACAGTGGAAGCACTCATTTGTTTATGCCAAGAAATGTGGAAGACAACTACCTGGCCAAGTGACTGGAAGAGATCCGTATTCGTGCCCATTCCAAAGAAAGGTAATTCAACAGCATGATGAAATTATCCAACAATATCATTAATATCACACACAAGTAAAATTATGCTGGAGATCATTCAAAAATGGTTGCAGCAGTATGTTGACAGAGAACTGCCAGAAATTCAAGCCAGATTCAGAAGAGGATGTGGAAGAAGGAATAGCATTGCTGATGTCAGATGGATCTTGGCTGAAAGCAGAGAATACCAGAAAGATGTTTACCTGTGTTTTATTGACTATGCAAAGGCATTCAACCGTGTGGATCATAACAAATTATGGATAACACTGTGAAGAATGGGAATCCCAGAACACTTAGTTGGGCTCATGTGGAACACAAACCAAGAGGCAGTTGTTTGAACAGAACAAGGGGATACTGCGTGGTTTAAAATCAGGAAAGGTGTATGTACATCAGGGCTGTATCCTTTCACCATACGTATTCAATCTGTATGCTGAGCAAGGAGCCCTGGTGGTGCAGTGGTTAAACGTTCAGCTGCTAACCAAAAGGTCGGCAGTTGGAATCCAACAGCCGCTCCTTGGAAACCCTATGGGGCAGTTAAACTCTGTCCTCTAGGTCTGCTATGAGTCAGAATCAATTCGATGGCATTAGTCAATAGTCATGCTGAGCAAATAAACCGAGAAGTCAGATTATATGAAGAAGAACGGGCCATAAAGATTGGAGGAAGACTCATTAACAACCTGCAATATGCAGACAACACAACCTTGCTTGCTGAAAGTGAAGAGGACTTGAAGCTCTTGCTGAGGAAGGTCAAAGACTACAGCCTTCAGTATGGATTACACTTCAACATAAAGAAAACAAAATCCTCACTACTGGACCAATAAGCAACATCATGATAAACGGAGAAAATATTGAAGTTGTCAAGGATTTCATTTTAATTGGATCCACAATCAACACCCATGGAAACAGCAGTCAAGAAATCAAACAATGCATTGTACTGGGAAAATCTGCTGCAGAAGACCTCTTTAAAGTGTTAAAAACCAAAGCTGTCACTTTAAGGACTAAAGTGTGCCTGACCCAAGCCATGGTGTTTTCAATCGCCACATATGCATGCAAAAGCTGAAGAATGAATAAGGAAGGCTGAAGAAGAGTTGATGCCTTTGAATTATGGTGTTGGTATACCATGGACTGCCAGAAGAACAAACAAATCTATCTTGGAAGAAGTACAGCCAGAATGCTCATTAGAAGCGAGGATGGTGAGACTTCATCTCACGTACTTTGGACATGTTATCAGGAGGGACCAGTCCCTGGAGAAGGACATCATGCTTGGTAAAGTAGAGGGTTAGAGAAAAAGAAGACCTTCAATGAGATGGATTGACACAGTGGCTCCAAGAATAGGCTCAGACTTAGCAAGGATTGTGAGCACAGTGCAGGACCGGGCAGCGTTTCGTTCTGTTGTACAAAGGGTTGCTATGCATTGGAACCAAATCAATGACACCTAACAACAACATTGTCTAATTAAGGAGCCTGGTGGTGCAGTGGATAAGTGCTCAGCTGCAAACTGAAAGGTTGGCAGTTTGAACCCCCCAGCCACCCCACAGGAGAAGGATGTGGCAGTCTGCTTCCGTAAAGATTGTTGTTGTTGTTAGGTAAAGATTACAACCTTGTAAACCCTATGGGGCATTTCTACTCTGTCCTATAGGGTGGCTATGACTCGGAATTTACTCTGATGGCAATGGGTATTGTCTAATTACTTTCCAGTTTTGTACAAATTTGCATTTCCATCAGAAAAGTAATGGCATTCCTCTCTTGTCTATATTGTCACAATTTAAAACTGTGCCTATTTGAATGCAATAATTCTCTAATTATTGTTTTCATTTGCATTCATTTGATTACTCATGAGTTAAAACTTTTTTTCATAAGTTTATTGCTTTTTAGTTATATTCAGTGGATTGTCTATTCATTTTTCCTATTTGGTTCTTATTGATTTGTGTGAGCTTTTCATGTTAAGGATAAAATCTTTTATCTCTGTCTATCGTATTTGTGGAAAATTCTTTCCCCAACCTGTTGTTTTCTTTTTAATACTACATACAGTGCTTTTCTGTCATAATTTAGAATTTTTATATAGTTAAATGTATCAACATTTCTTTTGTGACTTCTTTCATTGTTTTTATATTTAGAATGGATAGTTAAATATTTACTTACAATTTCTTATTGGTTTTTATTACCTGAGTCTACTCTGTAGACATTATTTCAGTTTACAGAGTTAACAAACTGAATTAAGTTTTTCCTTCATATTGTCAAACACTGTTCTTAATTAGTATATAATCCTTTCCTTCTTACTGGCAAACAAAAAATCACCTCTATCATATTTTAAAATTTAATACAGCTGTGGTTCTCAACCTGGAGTGTACATTGAAATAACCTGGGGAGATTTAAAAACTACTGGTGCTTGGACCTTATCCCAAGAGGTTCTCATCTATTCGTTCTGAGGTACAGCCTGGGTATAAGGGGTTTGCAAAGCTCTGTAGGTGATTCTAATGTGCAGCCAAGGTTCATAACTACTGCTAAAGTGGTTAGGACCTGGTTCTCATCCAGGGGTAGGCATCAGAAGCACTATGGAGTCTTGAGTAACTCTGCCCAACCCTGGAGAATTTTATTCAGTTCATCTGGGCTGGGACCTGGGTATAGGACTTTTAAAAGCCCACAGGTGATTTTTAGCGCATATCTGGCAGATGGATGCCTACTGTTACCGGGCTATCTATTCTGTTTCATTCAGTACTCTGGTGTTCTTTGGGCTATACCAACTGATTTGATTATTATAGTTTTAGCATGAATTTTAAGGAGCCCTGGTGATGCAGTGGTTAAGCACTCAGCTACTAACGGAAAGGTCAACGGTTCAAACCTGTCGGCTGCTCTTTGGAAGAAAGATGTGGCAGTCTGCTCTCTTAAAGTTACAACCCTATGGGGCAGGTTCTACTCTGTCCTAAACGGTCGCTACGAGTCAGAATCGACTCAACAGCACCCAACGACAACAACATCGTAAATTTTAATATTTGCTAGGGCTAGTACCTCTTCTAACTCTTTAAAAAACATTGCAGATATCTACATTTGCCTGTTTATACTTCTACATCAGTAGTTCTCAAACTTTAACCTGAGGAACTTGGCAAAAATACAAGGGCCAAGCCCCATCCCAACACAACACGGGCTCTGTACTCCCCTCCTTATTGGAGCTCCCGGTGATGCTGGAACGCATCAAAGTTTGTGAACCACTGTTTTAGAATCTACATGATCCCCATCATTTCTGGAGTTAAAAAATAATCTTATTGGGTTTTTTATTATATTTGCATTAATCCTCCAATGCAGTCCACAAGGCTCAACTTAGACACATTTCCTCTATAAAGACCTTTCTGGTTACTCCAGCGCACATTCATTTCTCTCTTCTCTAAGCCTCTAATCAACTGACAGCCAATTATCATCTAGCGTGATACTTACTTGTTATTTAATTCTTTCTTGTAATTGAGTTTGGTTCTCCTACCAGATTGTAAGCACCTGGAGGGTAGGGTCTGGTATCTCTTCTATGGTTTCTAGTATGGTACTGGCATATGGAAGGCACTCCATAAATGCTTACCTTCATAATTTCCACGAATTCCTTGAGTTTATCAAAATCCTTGTCCATTATATCTTTTATCTAATAAAGAAGAAAGGCATGGCTTGACAAGACACAGCATATTATTGAAGACAGTTGTGGAGTCTTCTCTGGAGCTTTTTAAGCAAAAGGCAGCAGCTGCTTCTATGGAATGAGCTGGAGAAAGCTCAAGGAATAGACTTATAATGGCCTATTATATCCACCTTCTTCCCAAGGGGTCTATGAAGGCCAGGATCTAGGGTGCACCTACCACCAAGTCACTTATCACCACCCCGAGCCTTGCCAAGGCTTAAATCTTGCTTATTGCAAGGCTTACATGTGGAGCTCAGATCACAGCCTGAATTATACCTTCTTTCTTGATTATTTCCTTTTTAAAAGCATGCTACAGGTGGTTCCTGAGTGATATAAAAACAGTTAAACTGCTTGGATGCTAACAGAAAAGTTGGAGGTTCGAGTCTACCTAGTCACCTAGGAACAAGGTCTGGCAACCTACTTCCAGAAAAAAAACAAAAAAATAGCTATTGAAATCCCTGTGGAGCACAGTTCTAGCACACATGGGGATGCCATGAGTTGCAGATGACTCAATGGCAACTGGCGTAGGGGGTTCCATCATAGAAACAAGAGAGTTCTAGTTCTACAGCTATCCCAGGACAGATGAATGAAGAGAAAGGAATTGGTCCTTGACTGCCCCCAAATCCAAGTCAGCCCTCTCACTCTGCACAGTCACTAAGGTTACATAAGCCAAACCTTATCAGTGAGATACCTTAGAGAGTCCTTAGTCATTCAATATTTGGAAAGAGATTCTCCCCCCACCGAAAAAAGATCAGGTTTAAGCAGCAAACAAGAAATGAATATTCTAAACCAGCCAGCACTTAAGCACCCTGGGGAACTGAGACTGAGTTAGTTTGGTTACTTTTTTCCATGCAATTCCTGATTTCCTTCATCGTTCAAAGTTAGGAATTGCATTTTCTTCAAGCTACCCCTCTCCTCCATGTTATGTGAAGTATCATCCTTTTACCTGTTTTATCTCCTCCATTTTTTCCTTGAGCTCTTCCCTCACCTCCCTGAGTTCATTCTGAAGAAATAAAATGGGGAAGAGAATGAATGAAGGGATGTCTTGGATGGAAGGAAACTGACAAAAGGAGTGAAGGAAAGATCCTGCGGTGTTGCCAAAGAGAAGCAGAGAGATACTCCCCATTAGGGAAGCAGGAATAGATGCTGTAAAGAAAGTAGGCTAACGGGGCATGTGGACATGGTGAGCCTCCTGATATGATGCACTGAGAAGGACTCAGCATCACTTCTGTGGCATGCCGCCAAGGGCACCAAGCCTGAATCCAGTCCCAAGGAAGCATCAGACAAACTCAAATTAAGGGTCATTCTACCAAATAAATGACCTGTAATCCTAAAAATGTCAGCGTCAGGAAAGACAAAGATAGAAGAACTGTTCCAGATTCAAGGAGACTAGATGCAGCATGGAGCCCTGGTGGTGCAGTGCTTAAGAGCCGCGGCTGCTAACCAAAAGGTCAGCAGTTCAAATCTACCGGTCACTCCTTGGAAATTATATGGGGCAGTTTTACTCTGTCCTATAGGGTTGCTGTGAATCAGAATTGACGCAACGGCAATGGGTTAAATGCAATATGTGATCCTGGATTGGATCCTGGACCAGAAAAGGTTTTTTTCTCCTTCTATTATAAAAGACACTTGTAGGACAATCGGTAAATTAGAATAAAGACTGTAGATTAGTACTGTATCTATGTTAATGTCCTGATTTTGATAATTTTACCCTGAATATTGTTTTAGGAAATACACACTGAAGATTTAGGAGTAAAGGGGCAACTTATTCTCAAATGGTTCAGGATATAACACACACATACACATGTGTATATAAAGGGGGGAGAGGAAGAGAAAGAGAGAGCCAAAGAGAGGGAATGAGCATAAAGCAAGCACAATAAAATGCCCACATTTAGGGAATCTGGGTGAAAGTATCCTAGAATTCATTGTACTATTTTTTGCAACTTTTCTGTAAGTCTCAAATTATTTCAAAATAAAAAGTTTAAAAACAGAGGAAGAATCTGTGGGAATGAGATCGCAAGGCCTAGAGCCGCACTGTAGGTGCCAGCAGTTTTATCTGTCACATGAGTTCAGCTGAGTTGCCAGCCACCAACTCTCTGCCCCTGTGCTGATCCAACCCCCAGCCATCTGGGCTCATACACTCACCTTTAACTCACGTGTCCCTCCTGTCTTGGTAGACGGCCCTTCTTGTTTAACTCCTTTGTAGTCATACGTCTGTTGATTGAAACCAGAAACACAGAACCTTAGAAACTGCAGGTGTGGGTGGAGGAGGTGGGAGAGATGACCTGAGTTTCTGTTCCTCCCTGAGGGCCAGGGCAGAGAGGTGATGGCTGGGGGCCTCACCTGCTCACAAGTTTCCTCGATCCTTTTCCTCCTTCTCTAGGCCCACGTCCTTCTGGCCTTCTGGGCTCAGTTCTTTCTGTCCCTTGAACAGCCAAGCTTGTCCCCACCTCAGGGCATCTGTGCTTGCTGCTTCCTCTGCCTCGAATGCTCTTCAGCTCCAATGAAGGCCTGCCTTGACCATCCAGTCTAAAACAGCCACCCACTTATGTCTCCCTATTTTAATTCTCTGCAGAGCATGGAACACGACTCAATTTTTCCTTGTTTATGTATCTGGTTAAAAAAAACCAAACCAAACCTATTGCCATCAAGTCAATTCCGACTCACAGCGACCCTATAGGACAGAGTAGAACTGCCCCATAGGGTTTCCAAGGAGCAGCTCTTGGATTCAAACTGCCGACCTTTTGGTTAGCAGCTGAGCTCTTAACTGCTGCGCCACCAGGGTTCTATGTATCTGGTTACTAGTGTGAAATTCTATGAACAGAGAACTTGTCTCTGTCTCTCTCTCATTGCATCCCCCAGCACCTGGGACAGGTCCTGTCACCAGGAACAGCAAATGACCCCCAACTCCACACCAGCTCCCCATGGCCCTCAGGCCTGGCTGCCAGCATGGCCTCCAGAAGGCTTCTTACTTTGGTCGGCTCTGCCTTCAGTTCCAGGCAAACTGTCTTGCAGTTCTTGTTCTGCAGAAAGAGGCAGGTGGAAGTCAGCCTGTCAGTCATCACGACTGTGGGAGGGCTAAGGAGGTCATAGGAGTTCCTGGGTGATGTGAACGGTTAAGCGCTCAGCTACTAACTGAAAGGCTGGCAGTTCAAATCTGCCCAAAGGTGCTGCAAAAGAAAGTCCTGGCAATCTACTTCAGAAAGATTATAGCCATTGAAAACCTAATGGAGCACAGTTCTGCTCTAACACACGGGGTCACCATGAGTCAGAATCGACTTGATGGCAACTGGTTTAACACTCAGACCTTGCAAGGGCACCCTCACTCCAATCTGCCTGCCCAGCTGTGCTTGAGCTCAGGCCCACGTAACCCCCAACACCCCGACCTGATTCATCACAACTCAAATCTTGTCATGTTATACTCTTCTTACACACACGCGTCTGCCCATTCAGCAGGCAGCCCTGTCCCTACTGGAAGGGCCTGGGCAAAGAGAGCGCTTTAAGACAACTTTAAAGAAGCCAAGTATCGTTCCAGGAGCACAGGCTTTGGGGATAGACAGATATGGGTTGTAATCTCAGCTGTGCTTACTAGCTGTGTCAACTTGGGCAAGACATGTAGTCTCTCTGAGCCTCTATTTCCTCATCTATAAGATGGGAGTAATCGTTCTATTTACCAGGTAAGGTGATTTGTGAGCCTTAGACATGCCCGTCAGATGCTGACATGGTGCAGGCCTGGCTTGGGATTATGGCTCAATGAGCAGTCGTAAGGGTATGACAGTGCTCCTTGTGCCCAGAGGAAGTAAGCCGAGGCCTCTTTCCTTCCCACCCCAAGGCCAAGGATTAATCCCACCCCCATTCCAGGCAAAGAGGCCACCTCATGCTCTAAGCAGAGAGGAGAAAAGCCAAGGGTTCACAGGAGCGTTCTCTGTCTCCCACCCCACCTCCATGCAGAAGGAGCTCGAAGAGGCCTTGCATTGTTCAGCAGCGTTTCTCCTTTACCTGGTTTGTTTTCTTCAGCTCCGCCCTCTTGGCCGACATAGTGGAGGAGGCCAGAGTGTTCTTCAGCTTCCCAGCCTCCCCACAAAGGGCCCCCCGTGACCAGGCCGCTCCTATGCAAATTACAGGTCAAGGAAAGGCAGGTGAGCACCTCTCTGTGTGTGGAACAGCTGAGGTCACAATGCCCAGGTCCCACATACTGGCCTAGGGTCACTGCAGCTTTGGGCCTGGGTTGCCTTGGCCATGGAGATGAGGGGCTCAGGTCAGGTTCAAAACAATGAGGTCTCCCCCTCAGCAAGGGAAGAAGGGGGGCTATTCCAGGAGAGGCCACAGCGGTGAGGACCAGGGCCCGTTATCGCCAAAGAACAAACCAAAACAAAAACCAAACCCACTGCCAGCGAGCCGATTCTGGCTCACAGCGACCCTGGAGGCCAGAAGAGAACTGCTCGTAGGGTTTCCAAGGCTATAATCTTTAGGGAAGCAGACTGCCATATCTTTCTCCTACGAAGCTAGTGGGTTTGAACCACTGACTTTTCAGCCAAGGACTTTCAACAACTGCCACCAGTGCTCCTAATTACATGCCTCCCCACTCCAAAAAAAAAAAACACCTGTTGTCGAGTCAATTCTGACTCATAGTGACCCTATAGGATGGAGTAGAACTGCCCTATAGGGTTTCCGAAGAGCGGCTGGTGGATTCAAACTGCTGACCTTTTTGTTAGCAGCCTGAGTTCTTAACCACTGTGTCACCAGGGCTCCAAGTAATTAGATGCCCACACCCCCTTAATTCCTGACCACAACTACTTGCCCATTTCAAAGGCCATTGCTCAGGTCTGTCCCCACTAGAAGCCAGAGATCATGCCACCAGCCCCAAAACTGCCTCCAGGAGCTGCTTGCAGCATTACTGGTGCTTTTTCTAGGTGGTTATTCCCCAGCACCTAACCTGGTGATAGACATTCATCTTATTCCAACACAACAAAGGAAAGTGTGTCTGTGACTCTGTTCAACTGGGGCAGGGAGGGGGCTGGGTAGAGCTGGTGAGGAGCTTCCCAGGGCCCACTTTCCCCACTTGTAAATGGGGGGTTGGAACTCTAAGGTCCTTCATTCTCTGCTAAAACCTTTGCCCTTGCCCACTTAGCTCAGTTCTCCCAAATTCACTGGCCAAATGTCAGAATGGCAATTTCTCCACAGATTTCCAAAGCTCTTCACAGGCTTGAGCAGGGAATTATAGTTAAAACAACTGACTCCATCTCGATATTTACCAACCTTGTGAAAAGAGTGTGTGGAGGGGGAGGGAGGTCGTCTTCTTCCTATTATTTTGGTTTGAGATCCTTGTGGACCTGCAAGTAAAGTAGTTGTTAAATGAGCCTTATTATAGCCAAGGACACTGCATGAGCCCCCTGCCCTGTGCAATAGGACACAGGGCCTAAAAGAAATTAAGGTCTCAATGTGAACTGTTTTTTAAAGCGCAAAACGCTGCATACATATGAGGTATTACTACCATGATACGGACAGAACGTTAACAAAAGACCCACATCTCTGGGCTTATGCCTTCTCGCAAGTATTGTCCATGCTCCTAAATTCATCATTGTTGTTATTGATATGTTCTGGAAACACTGGGGATGTCCTTTTGTTGAACCTGAATAAACCAGTCTCACATTGTTTTCTTCTTCTTTAAGAAGATTTTGCAACTGCCTGAGGCGGGAGGTGAGAGGAAGCAGCAGCCACACGTCTCTTTTCTCCAGGTGGATAGCATTTGGATTTCGTTTTCTTTTTGAGCGTACTGGTTTTTTAGTTTCATGAAGACAATGTGTGGATGCTAACGGGGTGGGGGGGGTGGATTTTAAAAAGGCCCCCGGCCTCTGAGTTTGGCCTCTTTTCATTTAAAAAAAAAAACAAAGAAAAAAACCAGTTGCCGTAGAGTTGATTCCAACTCATGGCGACCCCCTGTGTGTCACAGTAGAGCTGAGCTCCATAGCGTTTTCAATGGCTGACTATTCAGAAGTAGATTGCCAGGTCTTTCTCCTGAGGTGACTCTGAGTGGACTTGAACCTCCAACCTTTTAGTTAGCAGCCAAGCACTTAACCATTTGCGCTATCCAGGGACTCCCTTTTCATTCCAGGAAAACAAAATTCCAAAGAATCTAGCCTACAGTGAGGTCCAGGTTCGTTCACTAGCTACATCTGAGCCCAGAGGACGTGAAGAGAGGAGACATAAAGACAGGGGAAGGGAATGCTACCTGTGCTTACAGGCCTGTTCAACCACTCTGCGGCCAATAGCTCTCAGTGACCGCAGCAGTCCAGAGCTCTGTCATTAGTTGTGGAACATTTCATAAAGGTGCCCAGAATCCTGATAGCCAGAGTCTCCAGTCAACCTCTGACTGACATGGTTCAGCATATAGAACCTCAATGATTACCTCCACAACACTCTGCAGTTTATTTCCGGACATCCTGCAGCATCTGGTGGCTGCTCTCAGCCAGAGAGGCTCCCGGGTTCCTTGCCCCAGGGACCCTCTTACATAAATTTTTCAGAGATTTTATATGGTTGGTTACGGCATTGTCCTACTTGACTGATTTACAGACACCTTAGAAAGCTTTCCTCTGTGCTGGGTGCACATATCTTTTACCACTGGCACGTTGATGACTATGCAATGTCTGATAATTTCTATAAATAGTGGATCAGAACTTTGGCTAGAATCATATCCCTATTATATTGTTGCTGTGGAAAAATTATATTCAATTTATGTCATGTGACCTTCTAGTACCTCTATTTCAGAAACAAAGCATCCTACTCTGAACAGAGAACTGTAAATTACCAGCTATTTCAGTACAGCTAAATGATAAGTGAAGAGTCAGAGCAAATTTATTGTGTGAGGAGCGCTGGCTTCTCTCTCCTATATGCTCACCATGACACAGACAAGCTTGCCAGGGCCTCCCAGTACCCAGGGGAACCTGTTACTATTCCCATAGTCAATTGTGACAGAGCAGCCTGCTGTGTGAGATAAAGCAGGGGCCACTACCAACCCGAGGCTCCTCTGCTCCTGACAAATACGGCTCCTGGGGCCTCCTTTCCTTAGCTGGGTGCCCCCTTAGCCTCTTTGGATGGAGCCCAAATAGAGGACAGCAGCTATTTTATTCCTGCCTCTTTTGGAAAGCTGTCTACAATTGCTCTCCTAGTCCCTGCCTTCTCCACCTCCGACACCTTCAAATTCCCATTTATCACTGAAACTGTAACACTGAGTGGCACAATAGCCTCTTTGGATTGGCCTTGTCGGGGAATCATAACTCTCATGGTGTCCAACAAGCAGGGAATCAACCTCTTGTTGCTTCTCTGGCAGCATCCTAGGAAGATGGACAAACCCACACCCTTGACAACTGTATAACCCATTGCCGTCAAGTCGATTCCGACTCATAGGGACTTTATAGACAGAGTAGAACTGCCCCATAGGATTTCTAAGGAGCAGCTGGTGGATTCAAAATGCCAAACTTTTGGTTAGCAGCCATAGCTCTTAACCACAGCACCACCAGGGCTCCTGGCGACTGCATAGATGTGGCAAAGACATGGCATCCAGGAGACCAGGAGACCAGGTGGGTTATTGGAAGCATTGCCCTAACTAGAGCTTATGCATGCTGCTTTCTGTATTAGTTGAGGTTAGGCTAACTGCTGTAATGAATCCCAAAATATCATTGGCTTAACATAGTGGAAGCTTATCTCTTGACCACATAAAGACCTAAAAGGATCAAGGCGTCCTCATCAGTAGGTGTTTCTCCTCCTAGCAATGATTTTGGGACCAAGGTTCCTTCTGGCTTGTGGCTCAGCTGTCTTGAAAGCTTGAAAGCTTGTGGCTTTCAAGATCACTGTTCCCATCTGCACTGAGCAGCGGAGGGGAAGAGGATGGAAGATCACATATGGGAGGTTTCCATGGTCTAGTCCTGGAAGTAGCCCGCATCACTCCCACTCAACATTTCTTAAGCTAGAAATCAACTACAAAGCCACACCTAACTGTAAGGGGGTCTAGGAAGTATGGTCAAATTTCTGCTAAGGAGAAGAGGAAATAGGTTTAACCAGC